AGTGTCTCTCTACGCAGCTCAGATTCACAATAATCCTGCCATTGGGGGGCTTTTTTGGAGGTGGCTGGATCTAGGATGTGTGATGCTGGGAGGGGTGATTACTGAATTGGTTGGTCTGGAATAGTGGTGGGTGTGGGTGCTTCCTGCCCTAACAGCAGGTAGCCTAAATAGAACATAAACAGACAGAAAGAAACTGCTATTGCCGCTCACCACTTGTCATTTGCCTTGCTGACTTGTATCCTCCCTGCCAGGGACTGTTTCACTTCCCTTTGCCCCTCTGCCACACCACCCTGCCTTTGAGCCAGCCAACTGTGGGCTAAGTAAACCTTTCCTCCTTTAACTTTGAGTGTGGAATATTTTGTCTCAGCAATGAGAGAAGTAACGATGACACCGTGCATGGTATATTCAAGTGTGTGGGGGTTTTGGGGGTCTTTTTTTTTTCTTCTTCTTCTTCTTTTTGCGGAACTGGGGATTGAACTCCAGCCCTTGCGCTTGCCAGGGAAGTGCTTATTCCACTGAGCCGTCTCCCCAGACTTCAGTGCATGGTATGTTATAGGGAATGTGGACTCTCCTGTCTTAATACAGATGCTGGCAGGCAGTTAGGCTGCTGGCAGATCCACTTGATCTTCATAGAGCTTATTTTAGGTTTTATTAGAGAAGGTTTGTATTCACTTTGTCCCTAGGTACAGAAGGTTCCCTTCCTGGGAGTGTGGCGGGGGAGGTCCTTACTCCCAAAGCATGCTGTTGCAGTTTCAGCTGAACCCCTGAGGTTCTTAGGGTGGCATCCCCATTCTTGTGTGAGCTCCACTGCATGCATCCGATGTGTCCTAGGTCTCTGCCCACTACCTAGAGGCATCTGCCCAGCACCCGCCAGCTGCTTTCTTCCTGGCCTCAGTCTCTCTGAACCTGTGGACCCTTAAGCCACGCCCCAAGGGGACACTCCACACAGGTGTTGACGGCACCCTCCTGTCATGCCTCGGCCCCCTGCAGGCCCTGCTCCGAAGGCTCGCACTGCCCCTGTAGCCCTGAGCTCTGATCTCCACCTCATGAGCTAAGCAGGATGCTGCTCCTGGCTTACCTCCACCTCCCTGGACCATGGTCTGGCAAGTGTCCAGGTAGATGGGGGGGTGGATGCAGAGCACCCCAGCATTCCTGTTCTCCAAGATCACAGCTCCTTGCTGTAGCCCAAACCTGGAGATACTTACCTCACATATTTCCTCCAGTTTTAAAGTCCTGACTGTAGGAAGGTAAGTCTGGTACAATTCCAGCAGGACTGAAAGCAGGAACCAGATCAACGTTTGCTTTTGGTTAATTGGGGTCTATTTGGCATACAACCAAATGCACAGACATTCAAGGTTCAGTTCAGTTCAGTGAGTTTGGACAACTCGCCCTTGTCCCCACCACCCTGTGCTGCCGCCTTCACGTCGCTGTTAGTGCCGCCTGTCCTAGATCCTGCGTGTATAGAACCATGTAGTATAAAGTCTTTCCTCATCTGGTGTTTTTGCTGAGCAAATAGTATTTTTAAGATGTGTCCATGTTGTCACTTACATCATTGGTTCATTCTTTTTAATAGTATTCCATTATATTAAGTATGTTGCATTTCTGTGCTCCTCTTCTTATTCACGTCACTGAGTACCAGTCATCCACGAATCCAGCAAAGCGCTCCTAAGGTTGCAGTATGTTTCAGCTTAATGAGAGTCTGCCTAGCAGCTCTCCCGGGTGCTTGTGTCATACACAGCCACCAGCACTACGTGAGTGCCCCAGGCTCTCCACGTCCTCACCCACATGTGGTGCTGTTGGTCTTTTGCAGTGAGCAGCGATTGGATATTTTCATTGGATAATTTGTCTTTCCAACTTGGAATGCTGTTGTCAAATGCCTTTTCTTGTGCTTTATGACCATTTATGTATCTTCTTTGGTCGAAGGTCTTAGTCTTTTGCCTATTTAAAAATGGAGGTTTTAGTTTTATTGTTGGTTCATAGATATTTTTATGCATTCTCGAAACAAATCCTTTGTCAGATCCGTGTACTGAAGATAAATTTTCCAAGTCTATGACTTGCCCACTGAGTTTCTTAATAACTTTACTGAATTTTCTCTAAGCTTGCTTTTCATTGACTTCTACTATCTTTATTATGACATTTCCTTCTATGTACTTTTCTGTACTGAGGATTGAATCCAGGATCTTTTTGTCATTTCTATACAGAGTCTTGCTAAGTTTGCAAGGTGAGGTTGCACTTGTGATTCTCCTGTCTCAACCTCCCAAAATAATAAGATTACAGGAATGCACTGCCAGCCAGCTCTGGTGCTGTTACTTACTTTGAATGTAATTTGCTCTGCTTTTTCTTTCTGATGCTGGGAGTTGAACTCAGGACCTTGTGCTTGCCAGGCCAGCATCTGTGCCTCTGAGCTACATCTCCGTGACCTGCTTTTCCTAGAGTGTAGAAAAGGTTAGACCGGAAACCTGTGTCGTTGGTTTTACCCCTGTCTCTTTTTCTGGTACAGGAATTTTAAGCTACTTAGTTCCCTCTCTGCACAGCCTTACCTGCACCCACCAAATTTTGGTAGGCTGTTGCTTTGTCTGTCATTCAGTTCAAAATTCACCTGGCTACTTTTCTTCTCTAACCTGTGGATTAACCACAAATGTATTGTTTAGTCTCCAGATATTTGAGATTTCTAAACATTGTGTTGTCTTTACCTTTAACTCACAACTATTGTAGTCGGAGTCTGTTGTTTGTACCAGTGTATCTTGGGACAACAGAATGTTCTCTTGAAAAAATAAATGTGTTCTGTAGTTGTTGTGTGGTATTCTATAAGTATTAGTTAGGTCAAATTGGTTGATCATAGTTTCTAAATCTTTTATGTCTTGTGCCATTTGCTGAAAATTTTCAAGTACAATTGTGGTTTATCTGTATGTCCCTTTTGTTCTGAATTTTTAGCTTCAGGTATTTTAATGCTCTGTTACGAGGGAGTATATATTTCAGGTTATCTGGTCTTCCAGATGAAGCAATCTTTGTGTCATTATGAAATTTCCAAGCCAGGCATGGTGGTGCACACCTGTAATCCCAGTTTTGGGAGGCTGAGGCAGGAGAATCACCACGAGTCTGAGGCCAGCCTAGACTACATAGCAAGTACATAGTATCTGAACTGTATAGCAGATGCTGTCTCAAAAAAAAGAAAGAAATTTTCAACTTCTTTATCCTTTCCCTACTGATTTACTCTAAAGTCAGTGTGTGTCTCTATATTAAGGGCATCCTTTTTACAAATAGCATATAACTGGATCTGGTAGTTTTTTCCATTTACTCTGAAAAATTTGCTTCTTAAAGGAAATGTGCATTTATTTATATATTTAGCAATCACTACTGTAATCGATAATCTCCAACTGAGAAACACCTCCTGCCCTTATAATTTGTATTTATCTCTATTTATTTGGTACAAAGTCTTACTACACAGCTCAGACTTGCTCGCAAGGCACAAGCCCAGGGTTCCGGGACTAGAACAGCATGTGGAATCGGGGCTTGAACTCGGATCCTTGCACTTGATAGACAAGCACTTAGACCACCGAGCTATGTCCCTGGCTCCCTTTTAGTCATGCCCAAGCCGGCCTTACACTGGCAGTCTTCCTGCCTCAGCTTCCCCATAAGCAGCTGAGATTCCTGCACAGCACCTGGCAGGAAGCACCCAACCTGGAGGACTCCCCACGTTGCTGCGTGCACTTCTAGTCCACGGCACGGCTCTCCCTGGTGTGCATCCTTTATATGTGGCCTGTGCATCCTATTGTGAGAGATCCCTGGGTTCTCTCGAATTTCCCACCAAAATGCCACTGTGGTGAGCGTTCTCCTGCAGGTCCCCTGAATTAGGCAGAAATCTCTGGGATGTTTGTCCAGGGTGGAGTTGCTGGCTTACAGGGTTTGCCCGGACTGGGCTTGACTAAGGATTGCCAGGGTTGACAGTGTGCCCAGGTAAGCATGAGAATGACCCAGAGGGGAGGAAAAATGATGGGACAAGTGGGGAGAATCGCTGGAGCCCCACACTAGGTGGGTGAGCATGGCTGCCTCTGACAGCGACAGGGACAGTTCATCACAGAGGAACTGGAGAGCAGAGGCCACGTGAGGGAAGGGGCAGGGTCCAGGTAGTGGCTGTGGTAGTTTCCCTCTGCTCAGCAAGGTGGGCAACAACTGAACGAGAAACCAAAAGGAAGGTTAACAAGTAGTGATCCTGGAGACACACGTGTGTGTGTGTGTGTGTGTGTGTGTGTGTGTGTGCGCCAGGGAGACAGAGTAGGATGCTTCTGCAGCCGAGTGTGGAGCAGCTCTGCCCAGGCCCTGAGCCTGTCATTGCAGGGCATGGTGGGCCTAGCTACAGGAGGACTGTGCCAATGAGTGCCTCCCACAGGGCTGAGGCAGCAGACCCGTGGGGTGTGCAGATAAGATGGACTCGGGTCCGCAGTGCACAAGGGGACAACAGGTAATGGCAGGAGAACAGGCCATGTGCATCCCACATCACAGGGAAGGTGACACAGTAGAGGCGCTCAATACCCTTTCGTCCAGAGTGGTGTTTTACTGTAAAAGCGATGCACGCCATGCCAACGGAACTGTGCTTTTGGGCACTTTAGGAAGGTGTAAAAACATCACAAACAGAAAAATAAAGATTTGAAGCCCTTCCTCGCTCCAGAGTAGCCATAGTTTGCATCTTTGTGGCCTTACTGGTCTGTCTTCCAGGGGACACTGAGAGGCCTGCATGGAGGTCTAAAAATGGGGTCTCATGCCCCTCACTCCAGGGGGCAGGCACACTCAGCATGCAGCGAGTGGGAAAGCAGGAGGCCCAGGAGCCACTTCCTGACCATGCACGTGGTCACAGCCCCTGCGCTTGTGCAGTGCACAGCCTGTAGTGCTGTGCATGCTAGTCATGAAGAGAGACTCCTCTTCCCATCCCTGTCCCATCCCACAGCCTGCACCTGCCCACACTACATGTCTCTCCCTCCCGGGTCTATGTCCCCTTCCAGACAGCAGTGACAGTGAGCTGGAGCTGTCCACGGTGCGCCACCAGCCGGAGGGGCTGGACCAGCTGCAAACACAGACCAAGTTCACCAAGAAGGAGCTGCAGTCCCTCTACAGGGGCTTCAAGAACGTGAGTGCCACCCCCCAACCTGGGAGAGGCCCTCTGTCCCTGACTCCACAGAGGGGGACCCGAGCCCAGGGAGCCTTCTAGAAACTTCTCTGGAGCACAGTAAATACCTGAGAAGGAGCTGTCCAGGAGGCAGACACTGTGAGGGCCACTGGGCTTCTTTCTCTGAGGCTCCAAGGCAGTGCCAGGGGAGCAGATTGGCACGGGAGTGGGGGCACCAGCCACTGCCTTCCCAGTCGCCCCTCTGCCCAGCATGCCTAGGGTCTGGAGCAGAGGTTGACTGAGTCACTGAAGGGGTGACTTCCACTTCAGGAGTGTCCTACAGGCCTGGTGGATGAAGACACCTTCAAACTCATCTACTCGCAGTTCTTCCCTCAGGGAGGTGAGTCCAGCCACGACCAGGCCCAGCTTCGGGGCTGCCCCACAGGGAGAGGACTGCACCACCACCCTTGACTTCTAGAGACCCAGTGCTGTCTTTTTCCCACTGGAGGGGAGTCTCCTGCCCAGGACAAAGTTGGAAACCTGGGGTGGGGTGGAAGCTGCCCAGGGAGGGGACTGGCCTTCCATGCAGCCCTCCCAACCCGGCCTCACTCTTGCTGTCCCCAGATGCCACCACCTATGCACATTTCCTCTTCAACGCATTCGACACCGATGGGAACGGGGCCATCCGCTTCGAGGTTCGTCCCTGAGGGTCCCTATATGTGCTGGGGGAATTGTGTCCCGCTGTCTCAGCTTCTCTGTGGTTGTTAAGAGTTCAGGTCCAGCCCTGCAAACCACCAGGGCCTCCAGACTCACAGAGCTGCCTCTCCCAGGTGGTTTGTGCTTGTAAAGAATTCAAGCTATAACTCAGGCCTGGCTTGCTAAGGGTACAATTTTAAACCCCTGGCCTCAGAATTTACTCCTTACTGCGGGAGTAGAACCAATCCAGAAATACCCAGAAAACATAGCCCGAGTGCACTCTGTTTTGCGTGGCCTCCTCAGCCATGCAGAACAGAGATGGGGTGAAATCCAGAGCTGCCCAGTGCTCCCAGGTTCTGGTGCGGGAGGAGCAGCCACCCCTTCCAGCGGCCCTCCCCCATACCACCCCAGGACCCCAACATTCCCCTCCCCCTGGCTGTCCGAGCTCCTCTCTCCCTGCCTGGCAGCACGGGATCATTTAAGTGAGGCCCCATCTGTGGAAGCCAGGCCGCTAAAAATAGCAGCAGGCAAGACGCTGAAACTTCCTCGGAGAGGAAAACCTTGCTTAGAGGAGATCGATCGATCGCTGCCAGCTCGGCTTCCAGGGCCAAGGGCGCCGACAGGAAAGCGGCGAGGAGGCCCTGGACGCCTGGTAATAATAATCCGTCAATAACACCACACGGGTTATTTTTACCCTGCGTGCCCACCACACGCTGACACGCCGGACACACGGTGACCGCAGGGCCCCTCCCGGCGCTGCCTGGGGAGCTCGCACTGTGTGGACGGCGCCCTTCTCCCTGGCGCACAGAACGTGCCAGGTACTCAGCAAACCTGATTGGTGTGGAGGAGGAGGGGGGACAAGGCACAGTCCCACCACCCCTCCAGGTGACCAGGATCTGCTGTGGCCTTGCAGGGGCAGTGTGGGAGGTGGCATCCAGCAGCGGGATGGGCCAGAGTGTGGGAATCGTTTTTCTTGTCCAACTTGGCAATGTCCGGGGAAGGTAACGATCACCCTCCCGCTTCCTGTGCGGGGTTCTCAGAGGTCTCAGAAGATGTGTAGATCAGTCAGTGGCGAAGACGGGTGCTGTGCTGAGTCCTTGCCGGTACCTTTTCAGAGGGCTCCCTGCCCCAGGTGCCTTCACAGGCCTTCTGCTCTAGGTGAATTCCTGTGGTCTCCTATAGTCCCTGGAGGGACTTCCTGCCCCAGTGCTGGGGTCTGAGGTATTTCATAGAAAAGAAAGGGGTACAGATCCCCACGACCTGTCCATGCTACCCCCAAGATGGGACCCATCGGCCCTCACTGCCAGCTGCAGGACCTTCCCCTGCCCTTAAAACAGGAGGTCCAGGCTGCCTGATGTTGGCAGTAGCCCCGTGATTTCTGTCTATGCTTAGAGAGAGTGTATCTGTTACAATTTCCTGGTACAATACAGAATTATCACTTTTTTTTCCCCTCGCCAAAATGAGAGGGCCAGGCCAATAGCTCAATAGCCTAAGCACCTGGCTGGCAAGTGCAAGGTCTTTGGTTCGATTCCCGGTACCAGCCCCCCTAACCCCCCAAAAAAATGAGAACTCAAATGAAAGGAGAGAGGAAGGGAGGAAAGAAGGAAAGAAAAAAAAGAAGATGAAGAGCAGGTGTAGCCCCAAGTCCCACCTCCGGCTCAACCACCAGCCCCTCCTAGAGTAACTCTGAGATCTGCTGCCAGAGGAAGCCTGGTGGTGGCCTCCTCTCTGCATGTCACCCAGCACCTTCCTGATTCAACTAGTTCATCTTGCCAGAGACCTCAGAACTTTCCCGATAGTGAACTGTCGGTGGCTTCTCAGAACCCAAGGTAAAGTGACGTTGCCCTCGGTGGCAGTGGCATTGGCAGAACTGCTCCTTTGGAAACTGATGGCCAGCGTGGGTCTCAGGGCTGCCCCCACAGTACACTGCTGCAGGTCCCTGGGCAGCGTGTGAATGATGTCACTCGTGGCAGGCTGCAGCCCTGGAACCTCGCAGGGCTGCCACCAGCTCGGCTCACCCAGTCCCTGCTCTGTGGGACCCTCATGCACACACTAAGCCTCAGCCTGGAGCCCCAAGTCTGCTGTGTCCCTGCAGGAGTCCGGCACCCTCCCCCGGCACTGTCTTGGGGGGCAGCAGAGCAGGGACTATACGTAAAACAAGCACCCTGCGCGTCAGGCCTCAGGTTACAACTGTAGATGCTACTGGGGTTGAACCCACGGCCTTTGCACTGAGCTATACCCCAAAGCCTTTGTTTATTTGTTTGCTTAATTAAGGTGTTTTGTTTTTGTTTTGTTTTTAGATAGGATCTTACTAAGTCACCAGTTGTCCCAGGCTGGGCTACCTCTGTCTCCCTGGATGCTGAGTGGCATGAGCCATGACACCAGCACCAGCCTCGTTCCTCTTAGAAAATAGCATCCTACTATTTTAAGGGTGCAACATTCCTTATTTCTCAGTTTAATAGCTTTTATTAAGATTTTTTTTCTCTTTGAATAATTCTTGTTTCTCCTGAATTGCTTGTCTCTGTTTCCATTCTCTCTTGTGGGTTGGACATGAAAACCCTCCTGTCTTGTCACGATAGTGGTCATGGCCACACGGCACAAGTGGCAGCACACAGGGCTCACTGAGGAGTTGAGCACCGTTAGATTAGTGTGTTCAACTGAATTTTTTTCCATGTATTTTGTACAGAGTCTCACTACACAGCTCAGACTCCTAGTGAGTCCTGTTTTCAGCCTCCCCAGCACAGGGATTACAGGCCTGTGCCACCACGTCCAGACTAGGTGGCTGGCTCAGCGTGCCTGGGGGCCTGGCCAGCACAGCATGGTTCCAGGGTCCCTGCACTTGAACCCCGGTCCCTGTGCTTGCCTGAGCAGGAGCTTAGTCCACTGAGTTACCTCGCCGGCCTTCAATTGAAATTTTTGAAGTGCCTTTGGCCTGCAGATGCTTGGTGAACTAGAAGCAGAGCACCTCCTTGATCAAAGGAACGTCCAGGTCGCCTCTGTCAGCACCAGTGCACTGCACAATGGGTTATTTTTACCCAAGATCAGCACCATGTGGTTCCCCACCACACACACTCACATGCACGCACGTGTGCATACACTGATCCGTGTCCTTGCCCCCAGTGGATTCCACCCCCACTCCGGAGCCACTGCCTGCAGAGCCAGGTATTGCAAGGAAAGCCACACAGTGAAGTGGAAGCCGAAGCAGAGTGCTGGCCCCTCACCCCTCGACCCCACTCCCCCCGCAGGACTTTGTGGTCGGACTCTCCATCCTGCTGCGAGGCACAGTCCATGAGAAGCTCAAGTGGGCTTTCAATCTCTACGACATTAACAAGGACGGCTACATCACCAAAGAGGTACCGGGGTGGCAGCAGTGGACCCGCCCACCCTGCTCCCTTCCTGCTGCTCCTCCCTGAGCTCTTCCTGTCTCTCTCCTGCCCTGTCCTGGTGCTAGTGGTTTGCAGCCTGGCCTTGGGGTGCAGGAGCCAGCGGGCTCTGCCCTGGTGCCCAGTCCTGGCTATCATGCTCCTCCATGCAGCCCAGCCATGGAGAGGGCCTGGGGGTGGCCTTGAGTGGGACAGTGTGGTCCCCTAAGAAGGGGTGCAGATAGGCCCTCAGTGCATGGACCCACAGATGGATTTTTGTTTGGCCTGAACTTTTTTTCTCTCTTTTCTGGTATCTGAAACAGTTGTTCCCTGCTCAAGTGTTGGAGGTGGGCACATTGCTCTCTGTGTCCAACTTGTCTTGGATCATAGGGGACAGACTCATCTTTTTCTGGTGCACAGAGCTCCTCTTGCTTGCCCTAGGGCCTCCTTTCCCTCCTGGGCCCTGGAAAACACCACCCTGCGGAGTCTCAGCAACCAGCTCATGCTGGTCCTCCTGTTCCCCTCCCAGGAAATGCTGGCCATTATGAAATCCATCTACGACATGATGGGCCACCACACCTACCCCATCTTGCGGGAGGACGCGCCCTTGGAACACGTGGAGAGGTTCTTCCAGGTATGCCAGCCCTGCCCTGGAGCTGGGTGATCCAGCACAGCAAGGGACTCTTGCTCCTGGGCAGACCTGCTCCAAGCAAGGAGCTCCAGCCAGGTTTCCGGCTGCATCCTGGGGCAGAAGTTTGAAGCCAGGCCTTACCCCTGAATTCCGTCCATCCAGGGATCCAGGCAGTTGGCCCAGTTAGTACCTTAGGAGACCGTTTCTCCCAGGAAAACAGGCTACAAAATGAGTGGCCTTGGGGGGTCCCCTTGCTCAGTGTCCTTGGGGCCTGGGAAACTGAAAGCCCGGCTTGTGCTGGCTGGAGGTCTCTACACCTGAAGCCATCCTGTGCCTCAGCTCCAGTCAGGGAAATGAGAGGTGACAGGAGCACGGACGCCAGCCCTGGGAAGGTCTTCAGGGAGCAGGGGAGTGCAAAGGCGGCCACTGTGGGCTGGAGATGGGTGGCGAGGCAGCTGTGTATCTCCAGGACAGGGAAAAAGGGACGCAGCAGAGTGGAGGGAGCCCCGCCAGTGAGCAAACTCACACTGGTGTCAGGAACTGTCTTAGCCACTTTTTTGTTGCTGAGATGTAATACCTTGCACCCACAAGGAAAAGAAGGAAATTTTTCAGCACACAGCCTGCAAGGTTTTGGTCCACAGTCAGCTGGTCCCAGGCAGGTTGCACAGCAGACAGCTTTACGTGGGGCATGGCAGGTAGGAAGCAGAACAAAAGGAAGAGCCAGAGAGGGGAAGGAGCCCGTCAGGCCACGTGCCCATGACCCCCTCACAGTAAGTCAGCTCAAAGCCCCACCCATGAACACGTGAGACTCTTGGGGACGGGTAGACAGATGCATAACAGGGACACTTAAACCTTACCGGGACACACTCACCTTGGTTTTGGCTTGGGTCACAGAAAATGGACCGGAACCAGGATGGGGTAGTGACCATCGAGGAGTTCCTGGAGACCTGTCAGAAGGTAGGTGGCTACAGAGGGCTGCACATGGGTCCTTCTGGGGCTGTGGGACCAGATGGTGGCCCCTAGAGAGGCAGACAGGTACAGAGGGAGGTGAGCGGCCTCAGACCTACTCCCTGTTTCTGCTCCTCAGCACCCATCCACCCACCCACAGGGACATAGTCCCGCCCAGAACCTGCAGGGTGGGGGGACTTGGGGAACACCCCCCCATCCTCTGCACACCCAGTGCCTGACTAGGCCTCTCTCTATGCAGGATGAGAACATCATGAACTCCATGCAGCTGTTTGAGAATGTCATCTAGGATGTGCAGAGGGGCCCTGGGTGGCCACTGCCACTCCACCCGAGAAACCGGAACTTTTTTCTAATGTATTTGAAAAAAGTGAGATGTTCACTCCTGATACACACACACACACACACACACACACACACACACACACAGAGCTCCTCTGGGCTGGCTGGCAGGAGGAGGTGAAAGGTCATGGGCACCGTTCCCAACAGCTGTCCTCAAATGTGTGGGGCAAGGCAGCTGCCTCCAGGATGGGCAGCACCTCTGCCAGTCACTAGATGTCACCAGGAAGGGGCTCCAGAGCCTGAAAGAGCCTCTCCAAAGCATGGGATCCCCTTCTTTTCCCACCAAATGGGAACCCCAGGGTTCCTCTGGCCACTTCCTGCCCAAGGACTTGTGTCCCCAGAGAAGCCCTCATTAAAGGGCTCCAGAACATCCAGAAATGAAGGGGTTCAGACTAGGACAGAGGTGGTCACAGTCTGCTTCCTGGGAATCCTGTCCCCAAGGCTGGGATACTGAGCCAGGCAAGCTGGACAGTGCCAGGACACCCTCTGTGAGGCAAGTTTGGGTGGTGAGGGCCCCTGGGCACCATCCTTCCTCCATCTCAGGCGGGGAGGGGCTTCCAAGGTGGGGATAGGGTTTCTAGGAGAAGAACCTGAGGGGACCGTTTGCCATCTCCCCTAAGGGAGAAGCCTTTGCCTACCCCAGTTCTGGCTCATGGGGATGGAAGAGGGGTGCTATAGCCCCAGAACAGGCTGCTCTCCCCAAGATCTGCTTAGTCCTGGGAGGAGGTCACATGGTTCAGACACCTGCATCCGTGGATCCTGGGGCATGGACAGGGCACCTGGTCCCTCTCCCCGCCCCCCATCTCTCTGGAGCTCCATGAGGCCCTGCCATGGGATCACCCCAACCTCTACAAAAGCACAAGTACTCGCCCTAGAGAGGAGCCACGGTCATTCAAGTCCTTCCCAAGATCCAAGGAAACCTGGGTCCTGAAAGCCCCAACCTAGGTGGCCCCCAGGAAGGAGTTCAAGGGTCTGTTTGGTGCCCTAGCGCCTTGGAGTCTTGAAGGCCATTTCCAGCCCCACTCACCAATGTTCAGAAGCACAAACCTGGGAGCCCAGCTTGGTGGCCCCGCCTGGGCTATGGAGATCCTATGGGGGGCAACAGTGAGGGCCGAGCGCCTGTTTGAGGAACACTCCCACATAATACATTCCATCGGGCCACCCATGTCTGCTCAGGCTGGTCCTGGTGACCCCACACATTCCCAGGACACTGGCCCCAGGTGAGCAGACCCCTCAGAGGAAAGGCAGGCTGGCCAAGGACGTGGGACCCTCGTCCCCACACACAGGTGGATGTCTCATGGAGTAGCACTGATGCCCACTACTGGGGTCCCCCTCCCCTCCTCCAGGGGAGTGTGTGTCACCTTCCCCTGGCTCAGGGATCTCCTCCTGCCCCAGCCCGCCCTCCCAGCTGGCATCCTGTGCTTCTCAGGGGCCAAGGCCACAGGAGACAGTCGCCACCATGCCCCTGTCCCCTTGTCTCCCACGCTGGGCCACGACGGGCCGCATGTCTGCATGGCAGCAGCGTCTCCCTTAGGCGTGGCTGGGAAGACAGTTCCTGGCGCCCACCAATATTCAATCCTATATATTTTAATAAAATAAACTTGATAAAGGAAGGGGACTCTCGCTGGCTTTATCTCAACTCTGAACTTTCAGTTGGCCCCCTCCCTCACCAGCTGCTATTCGCTATGGCTCTTGCCCAGCACTGTGCTGGTGAATGTGCTGGCCTGTCTGTTTGTTCGTTTAATACAGGATCTCCTGTGTTGCTCAGGTACAGAGAAAGCGTTAAACACATTCAGCCCCACTGACCATCACGAGTAGGAATGGTAAGGAGCTGCCTTCGGATGACAGGGTCTCCGAGGCAGACACTGCACACAGCTGAAAGGTGTTGGACACTTTGCCTTGAGCTGAAGTCCGGCACTGTTCAGCGGACATCGTGCCTCCCTTGACCAAGGCCAGAGAGTGGCGGGATGGGACAGCTCCGGCTGCCCCCAAAGCCCGTGCTGTTTCTGTGCCGTGCAGAGCGGGACTGGGGGTTAGAGCCAGGGGCGGGGCGCAGCAGAATTGGCTGCAATAAGACATGGACCGTCCCGTGGGCGCTGACACACTGTAAGTAGCATGTGGAGGAGGAAGGGCCCGAGTCTGCCCCGGGAGTGGTGAGTGGAGGACACTGTCTGAGAACTCAGCTTGGACAGATGACGGGACTAGGAGGGTGACACGGTGTGCTTGGCACCTTGCGAGTGGTCACTGGGCAGAGGAGAGCCAGGGTTCAGCAAAGAGGACCAAGGATGTTTCTCTAGCACACAGCCAGTCCCTGCTCCCCGCAGGGCCTGGGCCAGAGCCAGCGAGGGAGGGGCTCTGAAGCTGGTGTGAGGGCAGCCAGAGGTCCCGGGCCAGGGTGTCCTGGCTCAGAGCTCCAGTCCGCAGCCCACCCTGAAGAGAGAAAGGACGGGGACAGGGTGACACCCTCTCTCCACTGCTCCCCCAACCAGAACACCCACCTCTCAGGGCCCTGCCCCACCCTCTGCCCAAGTTAGGACTTGATTCTGCTCTGTCAGCTCACATCCACTGGAACGCAACCCCAGCTCCCCATGCGCAGCTGGGCCAGGCTCAGGCCAGGCTGTGCCTCAGTTTCTTCATCCGTGAGGCAGGTACACTTGAGAGCCTGCATTACAGAACCAGGTCTAAGTGAGCACAAGATGCCTGTGTATCAAATCCAGCTCCGACAATGGGGTCGCCACCTTGTGTCCTTGTAGGTGTGTGAGTCCCCCTCTGCTCCCTGCATCCACCTCTCTGATCTGTGCTAAGTCTTCCTATTCTCAATGCCCCTAAGCGCCTATTGGCTCTAGATACCCTCCCTGCTGGGTGTGGCTTCCCCTGCCACACCCTTTGCTGGCCTCTAAACTGGCTGCCCTTGAGCTGGGTGTCCACCCTGGTCCAATCAGCTCCAATCACCTGGTTCAATGCCAGGATTCCCCAACATACAAGTCTGGACTAGAAGGGTCTGGCCTGCCGAGGGTGGTGGGTGCTGGGAGATTGCAGAAGCCTCCTCACCGTCACCCCACCACAAAGGCATTGAAGGACTGCGTCCCCAGCACCCACCCCAGCAGGTGACCCCATTCCTCTAAGGCTTTGCCGTGTCTAAGCCATAGGGATCATCCTTCCATTCTAGAAATTTTGGTGGCTTCTTCAGCGTACGTATCTACCTTGCTGAGTCTCATTTCCTAATTGTAAAATTAAAAAAAAAAAATCCACTGTTGAAACTATTATAATTCAATATGTACATTTACTAGGCTTTCAATAAATAAATACAAATATGAGTATCCTTTCTTTCTAGTCATGGAAGTTTTTGTGTATCAGGGTGATTTACACCAATAAATCATCAGAGAAAGTGCAGGAGTTTGCCAGATCTTAGAAATAAATCTATGATGGTCTTCAGGGTTCCTGGCAATTGCAAGAGCCATCAGGAGTGCAGTGGGCTAAGGAGGGTCAGTCCATGCCGGTAGGGCTGCAGCAGGGGACTCTCCACCCATGCATCCACCACCAATTGCACGGCCAAGCTGACCAGCCGTAGACAGGAAGCTGTCTTCGAGAAAGCCCTGAGTGTCCTGTGGGCCTGGTCTGTGTTCTTCAGCCTCACAATGGCCCTACTGAGGCCTCCTTAATAGCACATAATGGGAGCAATGTGGTCCAGAGACCTTGGCCAGAGGGCCCACACCCTTCCCATGGTGCTCTTCGTCACCATTTCCAGAGCGCTGATGGCCCTGTCTGCCCTGAGAGGATCCTGGTTTCTCAGATTTCCAGTCTCCATTTGCTTGCAGTTTCAAGTGTTGTGTCCCTAATGACCACCAGAGGGCGACGGCCCACAACCGTGTCTCCTCACCTCTTTCTAGCCAGCCTTGTGCCCAGAGGAAGATGTACGGAGGGATGCTGTTGGTCATTTCCCTTTTTTTTTTTTTTTTTTTTTGGTGGAACCGGGGATTGAACTCAGGCCCTTGCACTTGCCAGGGAAGCACTTATTCCACTGAGCCATCTCCCCGGCCCCCGGTCTTTTCCTTAATAGTCCAAGGACATGTCACAATTTTGCCTCATTCCACCCCCCAAAAAACATAGAGTGTTTCAGGAAAAGGGGTTAGGTGCTCCCAGAGCACACCAAGCTGGGTGCCGGGTGTGGGGACCTGTCATCCTGTGTAACTGACCTCTCAAGTACCTAAATGAAATCACAGCCTCTTCTTGTACAGAACCCATGAGGCCTCTGCTAACCCTGGGAAGGCATTCACCCTGCTCAGCCCTGTCACATCCAGACAGCCTGAGGGAGACAGTGGCTGGTCACGGACTCAGACAAAAGAGGCACCTGGAGAGGGCATGAGGGCTTGGGCCTAGGGACAGAACATGCAAGCGGTCCCATCTCCCCTCCAGGGGACCTGGAGCCCTCAGAAACTGAGCACCTTCAACTTCGCAGCAGCCCCAGAGCCCTGCAGGTCACAGGCCCGTGTGCCCTCCACGGTCACCTCCTCCTCCCTTGTGCTCTCTTCTCAGCCCCTCCCAAGCTCTGGTTCCTAGGCGCAGGTCCACAGTCGTTGGGCTCCATCCCCACACTAGCCATGGACCACAGTCTGGGACACTGGATCAGGACAAAGTCCAAGTGACTGGAGCAGACCATGCATGCACTCCCAGTGATTTCCTCAGGGGCATGGCTGGCCTTCCAGAAGGGAAAGCCCAGTAAGTTGGTGAGAGGCCCAGAAAGAGGATCCAGAACCTGCTGTGGGCTCAGATGAAGGAGCCAGATGGGGACAATGACAGAAATGTTATCTGGTACCTCCTTCAAATAGTGGCTCACCAACTAAATGTTATCGGGTTTGTCTCTCCCCCTGGAGTTAGATTCTAGGTTCTCCTTGTCTCAAACAAAGTATGGAAGAAAACAATACAAAAGTAGGGGCAAAGAGCATCCAACGCAGGGGCTGGGGCACAGGTCAGGAGCCTGGGCTTGCCTGACACCTCCTCTAGGGACCTCCTCGGCCCAGGTCCAGCATCCTAGGGGCTCATGTACTGAGCGAGGAGACGGGGCACTACCAAGATGACTGAGAAGTGGGTGTGAACCGTTAGTTACAAGATCTGGACACAGAGGTGGAACAGTCGCAAAGCCCTGCGTGCGGACTTCTCACGAGCACGTGGACAGGTTTACAATAGGACGGTCTGGACCAGAGCTCAGTGTGAGGCCTGAGGCCCTAGCACCGCCTCTTGGGACAGGCAGGCCGGAGCTTTCTCCTTGTAGGTATCATGAGGAGTTTGCACTTGACTGTCTTGTGGAGCTTGCTCAGGATGTCCTTTTACTGCTTTTTCTCCTTTTACTTGGCCCACGCTTCTCGGCACAGAGAGTTTCTCTCTTCACTTTCTCTTATTTGGATAAACTTGGTCCCTACTTCTCTTTGACACTTTGTTTGAGACAAGAACTTGGAATCTAGCTTCAGGGGGAGAGGCAAGCAACCCAAACCCTGTAACATTTAGTTGGTGAACCACTTTTAGAAGGAGCTACCAGATAACATTTCTGTCATTGTCCCCGTCCAATTCCTCCATCTGAGCCCTCAGCAGGTGCCCGGACCTCCATCCAGGCCTCTCGCTCACTTGTCTGGCTCCACCTTCTGGGTGAAGGGAGGCCCGGAGGCCAGCTGTGCCCCTGAGGAAATCACTAGGAATTTGTGGCCCACTCCAGTCACTTGGACTTCGTCCCAATTAGCTGGTTGTGGAGGCAGAGGACAGGATCCAAAGCCAACTTGGTCAGGAGCGACCCTGGCCCTGCAGAGGGCCAAGCATACCATGCCAGCTCATGCACCACCTTGTTACCAGGCTGGGTCTGAGCAAGCTCTCAAAGCTGAAATAAGAAACCTAACCCACCCTTGCAAGGTTCACTAACTCTGGTTTCAGCAAAGGAGTTTATAGGACACAGCAACAGACACACAGAAAGGCTTCATGGGGTCAAGGGAGTGTGGGCACTGGGAGAAACGAGGCAGCTTACTTCCTGGGTTGGCATCTTGATGCTTCTCTCCAGGGGCTGGAAACCCCCGGGCAGGTTGGCACACAGAGAATGGTGCTAGCCACTCTACAGGTATGGACACCGGTTTCATTTAATTACTCATGATCCTCTAAACATGCCTTGCATTCTGTCAACCTGCTCCTTTATTTTAGGATCAGGCTTCTGCTCTTTATTTTCTGAAGCCCATTTATAGGAATTCTAGGTGTGGTGGGGGGGGGCGGGGAAAGAAGTCTAAATTTAACCAAAGCAGGGTCCTATGAATCGCCTCAGGGAACCTCACCTGAGAACCGGAAGTGACAATGTTCTTAAAAGTACAATTTTTGGTTATGATTTGCTTGTCTCCTTTTTCCCTTTTATTCCTTCTATCCTACCTCAGTCTCTGCAGGTAGAGGAAAGTCAGGCCTGCTTAGCCCTTGGTCCCTGAGAAAGGCTGCGCAGTAAGAGTGTGCATGACAGGACAGTCCTGTGTGGCCCAGAGAGAATCGGTGTCCTCCTGAGCAGGTGACAGCCATCACCTCCTCCTAGGTGATGGCACTCGATCATGGAGCATCCAACCCTCAAATT